GGTATAATGCGGATATATCCTCCTTGTACTCTCTGAATATCCTCAGACGTACGCAGTGCTTCTTACGTGTGCGCAAATATTTTCTCAGTTAAAGGCTATTTTGGAGTATGTGATTCATTTATTTATAGGAATAATTACATGTATATAGCACCGGAAATATTATTATTTATAAAATCTAACATTCATCTAATTTTTTTGAACTATCGAGCCAATATATCTACGTGTTACATGATCAAATCATTGAAATTTTGATAAAAATGATAAATATGTGTTGGGGAATTTTGATATTAGAGTGAGAATTTGGAAAAATGCATGAAGGTGGGTGCTAGATTTATAAATAGCATTGCTTCGGGGGGCTATATATGTAATTTGTCCTTATTTATAATGAATGAAATACATTTTATTATGTTGGTTTCTTATTTTAGATGAGCATTCGTCAAAATTCATTTTCATTATTATTGGAGTTATTCTAACGAGTAGATATTGACAATATAAATTCTGTTTTTTTATATTTTATGAGAAATTAAATATAGTATTTATAAATCATTTTAAATAATTTCTAACTACATAGTATTTTAGTTTTTTTTTTTTTTTTTTTTTTTTTTTTTTTTTCCCTTATCTACCATTTGATACATGCAATGCAAGCTTATATTGTACATATTTAAATCATCTAAGTTTATTTTTAATTCTTTAATTGATGCACTCTGGTCATGTCTTAAATAAAATTCTTTTTTTAATTTCATCTTCTTATTTTTGTCATATGTTTATCTTAATATTCTTACTTTTGTCACGCTTGACAATCAATAATGTGTTATACTATGCGAGGCTTGAATCCTTACAATATGAAAGACTTAGTTATTGTTGTGTGTTGGAGGATTCATAGTGGTAAGGTGATAATTTAACGTCTAGGCGTTATATGGATCGAACACATACACACACACACATAAAATGTAGAAATAATAGAAGAAGCACTAGGACTTCTTATGTGAAAATACCCTGCAAAGAGAAAAACTAGCGGGATCTAACCCAGTTAAAGTAATCCACTATATGATTGTAAGCATATGGGTCCACTCTTCAACTAAATTAGTGATGACAAAATTAGAAAGCTACTAATTACAAATGTACAACAGTAGTTCAGTTATAATAATCATAATTGAGCTACAACAAATATAGTTCTTGGTGATAATAGAAATAGTGAGCTGCAAAGGCCACTATTAATTGTCACAAAGGCAACAGTTTGTCATAAATGATGTAGTTGGTGGTTGTGATAGCCTCAGTTGGTAGAGAAAGGTCGTAGTTAAAAACTGTAATAGCACTTTACCACATAGGTCGTAGATGATCACATAGCTTGTAGTTGGTGCTGCAGTAGTAATTAGCCACATAGGTTATAGTTGGTCATATAAGTCATAGTTGGTCATATTGGTCATAGTTGGTAGTTGATAGTTGCAGTTATATCTGTTAGCCATAGAGGCCATATATGGTGACTACAATATCATTGTTTGGACACGTAAGTAATAGTTGGAGAGTGCAATAGCATTGATTGTCCACATAAGCTATAGTTGGTGTCTGCAATAGCGTTAGTTGGTCATATAGGTCGTAGTTGGTAATTGTAATAGGGTCAGTTTGCCACATAGGTCGTAGTTGGGGACTAAAATAGTGTTAGTTGGTCACACAGACCATAGTTGGTGACTACAATAACATCAGTTGGCCACATAACCTGTAGTTAGTGACTGCAATTGTGTCAGTTAGTCACATGGGTCGTAGGTGTAACAATAGTTATTGGTTGCAACCATTCTCTCGGATTTTACTACTATAGATGCATTTGTCGGTATGTGACATATATAAAACCTTAGGAGTCCAAAAGAAGTCAATGTGTCCTGAATACGGTAGTCGTAACCAGTTGTCATCAAGAGTTGTTGATGAATCTTTAATATGACATTATTCATTTGCACTATATACAGGTTATATCGTTATACAATATTCGAGATACATTATTACATTATATTAATTTAAGATATTTTGTTACATCATATTTGTGATACATCATGAGTTAGCTGAGTTTGCCAATATCAATGAGTAGGGCAATAGGTGACGACCGACCTATGAGATCGAGGGTGGTCAGCATCTATTAAATGGAGGTTGGGAGCTATAAGTAGGACTTCAATATAACGTTAATCATTTATATCATATTTAGAATACATCGTTACACCATATTCAAGACACATCATTAATAAGAGAAATTTGCCGATGGCACCAAGCATGGGTGGTCGACAGCTACAAAGGTCGAAAATTATCATTTTGTCTTTGGTCTAGAACATCACTGGAATTTGAATCTTTCTTCTTTTTTTATGTAAAGAGAAGGGGTCTATTTATAGATTTTGAGGGAGATGTTTTGATTTTTTGGCAAATAACTCCCATAACCACCTGATCAGAAGACTCATATCAATCTCCCTTGATTATATAGTTTTTTATAATTATTTGAGGGTCTTAATAATCACATAATTATGCAAGCTTAGACTTCTCTCGTTGAGATGCCTAATTTGACTACAATTATGTCAAATTTGGAGTTCATTTGATCATCCAATTAGCGATTTAAAGCCTTCAAATGTGTTTTAATGGCTTGATTTGGATATTTTTTGACTCATATCAGACTAATTATAAAATCATCAAGTTTGTCTTGTCAAACTGGTAAATTTGACAATAAAAACGATCTTTAATTTGAATCTGGAATGTTTTCTTGTTCAAAAATTACATCGAAATTTGTATCAAATGATAAAATATAATGATGATGCATTTGACAATATTGTTTATTTCATCAAATAAATAAATAATTCAGAAATTTGTACTTAAAGCTTTTTGCATTGTCTTGGGTACTTTGACCATGTTGTCGTTGTCAATGTTGGTGGTTGGCAACTATAATCTTAAAATGATAGTGTTGGCAGGACAATGTTACTCCCACGATTGTAGCGGTTGTGGGGAAATGATAAACGTCTGAAGAAGCAGTCACGCATGCATGGGTTTGTATGTGTGTCTGTGCATGCAAAAAAGTACAATGATGCATTAAGAACGTAGTGGGGTCCAAATGCATGTACCAACACAAGCAAGGATGCAATGGTGCATGATAAGCAAGGATGTGTGTGTGTGTGTGTGAGAGTGTATGTACACTTGCACACAATACCGCTGTGGGAACTTTGGGTTGCAGGCGGCGTCGTTGGCAGGAGGGTAGCACTGCAACGGTGGTGTGACAATGGCCAGGTGGGCGACTGTGCATTAGGTGGTGTGGTGTCGTGGCGGCAACACACAACGACAGGAGATGGAGCACAAGTGATTGGTAGTGGTCACGTGCGTCATGGTGGGTTGGGTCAAGTTGGAATGGGTATAGAGCTGGTCAAGTCAGTCCGAAACTAGCGTCGAGGGATGGTTGCACGGGTCGGTGGGCATGACCCAGCAAGCCGGGAACATCTTTCGCGCAAAAGCACAAAATCCATCACATGACCACGTGGTTGCCTTACGCCTAGGCATGCGCTTGTGCTTGTGCATGCATGAACTATTTCAAGGAAAATTTTTTATTGAAAATTTTGCATTTTGGTGCCAAAATTCAATTTTTTGGCATCATTAGCCATATCATTAGGCCTACAACTTTAGAGCCAACTTTGGACCCACACAAAAAATAAAAAAACAAAAAAAGATAAAAGATACAAAAATACCTCTTTCTAAATAATAGAGCTGCCCACACTACTATAAAACCAGTGAAAATCATATGGCAATCAAGCACCAAATTTCCCCGGAGAAAAAGGCTCTTCAAGTCACAGCCTTTGTGTTCTACTTTCTTCAGAAATAAATAAATAAATAAATAAATATATATATATATATATATTAAACATAATAAATCATTACATTACAATGGGGAATAAAATGATTCAAAATCTTAAAATAAAATATGTTTAATGAGAAAAAGAAATAGACATATAACTGCTCAAAAAATATAAAATGTTATCTAATTTTAATTATTTAAAATGAAGCACTTGCAAATATAGTAGAAAAATCATCTCTACCTTCCCCTCCCTTTTTCTAGATGATTACTTGTCCCAACCACCATTTCTATCCAAATCAGTATAGAAAGGTCAGTCAAAAGCTTTTCCTCTGCATACATTACATTAACTGTAATTTCAGCAGCAGTCTCAGTCTTCGATGAGAATCCATCAATTATATACTAACATTTATTTCGAGGTTGTCTGCTTCATTACACTAATTATAGTTTAATGGAGGATTTATTAAGACATTAGTGTAAGTTTAGTTTAAAATATGATTAGTATATGTTAAGATGCAGACATAAAACATAAGTGGAAAGGTGAGTCAGATTATTCTGAATAAAATTTGTATGAAGAACTTTTTAAATTTATTTTGAAATGGTTATAATATATGAATAATTAAGCAACTCCTATATTATAAACATCTTAAAATAAATATGAGAGCTATAAAATCTATTTCATAGTAATATGTCTTATTTATGCTTAAATTTCAGCTTATGACTCTAATGATTTTGTTTCATAGACCATCCTAATTATATAAATTGCATTGGAATAATTTTCTGATAAGATTTTGTTTCCAACTACTGTGGTCCTTAATCCCATCCATAATTCACTTCATTGTTACTTCATTGAAGCTTTTCAAAATCCAAATCTTGGAGTAGTTGGATACTTTTAGAGGAGAAGCAATATAGCCGCGAATCTTAGGCAAGATGGCTTTGTCATTAATCATTTATATAT